GAATAAAATTGATTTGCCTTGGTTTATAAGATTTGTATAAAACAAGTTGAACATCCCTAATACCCAAATTCAAATGCTCCAAAATTCAGAACTTTCTGAATGCTGACATGATGCCACAAGTGTAAAATTACACATCTGACCTCATGTAACCAGTTGCAGTCAAAATGCTGCAGAGAAAAAAAATTGTATAAAATTACCTTCAGGCCATATGTGTAATATATATATACATGAAACATAAACAAATTTTGTGTTTATACTTGGATCTCATCCTCCCAAATCTCATTATTTATATGCAAATGTTAAAAAATATGAAAGAGATCCAAAATTTGAAGCTTTTCTAGTGCCATATATTTAAAATGTGGGGGGGCCAGCAGGTGACGTGTTGATTAAAGGTGCTGAATTCCCACATGGCCAACCATGGTTCAAGTCCCAGACCTGGTGGCTTGCTTTCTTGTTTCCCCTTTCTCTCTCTGTAGCTCTCTGGTAAAATTAAAAAATAATGATAACTGGGGCCGACAGGGGGCATAGTGGCTAAGGGCTCTGGACTCCCACATGGCTGATCACAGTTCGAGTTCTGGACCTGGCAGCTTGCTTTCTCACTTTCTCTCTCTCACTCTCACTTTGTCCCTCTCTGGGCAAATTAAAATAAGTAAATAAATAAAGTTAAATAAAAGAATTCTTTTTTTAAAAAAATAATGACAACAAATGTAATTAAATAAATAAATAATTCTTTAAAATAAAATAAAATGAGATACTTAACCTGTACTTAAATGAGACTACATGAAAACAGGATTGAAAAGGCCAACTTACTATACATGCAAGTACAGGTGGAGGTAATCTGTTCTGTATCTTTAACAGGGATGACTAATGGAGGGGTTCCACTATTCTGTGGCCTCAGAGAATGCCATGATGTCCCCAAGTACAATACTTGGACTAAATATTTATTATTTCAATAATTGTAATGCTTATTAATCAGAAAACCAGGTAAGTTTTAGATGTCTAGGGCTACTTATTCATCTCTAAAGCATTGGCATTATTTCAAAAAATAGTTCTTCTAGGGAAGCCAGCAGTTAGCATAATGGCTATGTCGCTGGACTCCCATGTAGTCGACCGCAGTTCACGCCCTAGACTCAGTGGCTTAGAACTCACGCCAGGCACGTGTGCGTGTGTGCCCAAGATCCCGAGAGGAGAATGGAGGAGAAGGGATTGCGGCGTGACCATCCCCTCTGGGGAGTGATTTCTTGCTTTCTGACTCTATGTCTCTCTCTCTCTCTCTCTGGCGAGCGCACGCGCACTATAGCAAAAACCTCTCCAAAAAAAAAAAAAAAGTTCTTCTAGATATTTACTATATAACCAGAAACTTATTGTTACAACAATGGATATATGATCATTCTCATATTACATACCATTATATTATAATAAAAAGTTAGTCTAAAAACAATGATATAAAATAGAAGTATTCCCTATGTAGTTTAAAAGATATCTTTACCTTTTTCAGGTTTAGATATTTATATCAGGGTTTTGAACTGCAGTGTTCCATTTGGTTTTGACCTTCTGATGGCTTTACCTCTTATCACTGAAGAACTAAGACATTCCATTGTAGGTATTTTCTGTAGCAACCCAGCCAGGACCCTTAATCTTTATTAACTTCAATTTTTTCATAAAACGTGGTCTTTTCTTTGCCATGCCAACTTCATAGGGTGGTTGAGACATTCAAGTAAACTATTAGAATGGATGCGCTTCTATCTGTGTGATGGTCTTCTTCAGTCATAGATGTAGCGGTAAGGTAATTCTGACAAATGAATGCCCCAGTGAATTGTCTTGATTTGTAGCATAGTCCTTGTTCAGATCTTGGTTCTTCTTCATCATGATTTAGTTCCTCCCACATCCTGTTGCCCCATTCTCATTGATAGCATCTTACTTTATACCCAGTTGATACACTCCTATTGAGCTACTGCTATGTGTCAGGCCTGTGCATGAGCTTGGACTGCAGAGGTGAGAGGCTAGATCCTGTGTTCAGGGATGCCTATTTGAGTGGGAGAGGGGGTGTAAGACTGCAACAGCATTTCTTACCTGAATTTCCACTATGCTGGCTTGCCCTATAGATTTGAGACTTGTCAGCCCCTACTATTCTGTGATCCAGTTTCTTAAAATAAATCTCTTACTGTGTGTGTGTGTGTATTCAGAATATGTGCACACATACACAGGTTGGTGTTTCATACTGGTTCTGTTTCTCTGGAGAACGCTGACTGATATAGTACTCAGTTAAAGCTCTCTTCATCCATGCAGAAAGAGGAGGAACAAGTGTGGTATGTGAGATGCTTGTTGTGGTTTTAGGCATGTTGAGTTTGAGGTGCTCATGGAATCTAAGTAGAAATACTGGCAGGCAAATGTAGCCAGGATGTGGAAAGCACCCATGAGTGGTCTGGATTGGAGATATGAATGTGGAAATTACCAGTGTATAGCTATCAGTCGAAGCCGTTTGTGGATAACTGAACAGAAAAAGCAGAGTACATAAGCTAAGTTGAAGTATAAAGATGGAATCCCAGGAACACCAACATTTGAAGGGAGGTGGAAGAAGGCAACCCTATTCAAAAACCAAGGAGGGGACCAGCAGGTTGCGTGGTGGTTAAGGCACTAGACACTCCCACATGGCTAATCATGGTTCGAGTCCTGGACCTGGTGGCTTGCTTTCTGACTTTCTCTCTCTCTGTTTCTCTCTGGTCAAAATTAAAATAAATGAATGAATAAATAAAATTAAACAATTATTAAAGAAAAACAAGGATAGACAAAGAAGAGGTGGAGAATCAGAAGAAGAGTGGGATCTTACAAATTAGGGCAGGAGAGAAGTTCAGGAAGGAGAGTTAGCAGTGTCAAGTGCCATAGAAAGATCAGCTAAGAGAAATATTGAGAATCGTCCATTGAATTTATTTCCTGAGAGCTATCGGTGAAGATCACAGTTTTGGCATTCACCACCACATTTCAGTGGATGGAATAGAGAATCCGTGGTTTACTGCTGCTGCTCATTAAAGGGGCTCAGCTATGAAGTGTGGGGATAAGAAGGGGCTGTGGGCTTCCTGAGCAAGGGATGATTTCAGGATTAGAGGTGCTCTAGCATATTCAGAGGCTGAGGAAAGGAAGCAGAGAAGAAGGCAGATTCAAGGAAGAGAAGGGACAGAAGATTGAGTGGGTCTCTTCACTGGGTGGAGGGATAGGCATGGGGATGGCCAGTAGCATTGCCAGAGGAGAGCTGCCTCTTCTGTTCGACTGTGTGGAGAGAGGAAAGGCTACTTAGGGATACAGAGAAGTGGGGGACTGGAATTTCTGTTGTAAAAACTTCTGTTTTCTTTGTGAAGTGGACCTCTAGAGGCACCAAGGGGTCAGAGCAGAGTTGATGCTGTAAGGTCTCTGAAGACAGAGGAAGTATAGAATTACTGCTTCAGAGCTTGCCAGTGGGAGTTGGTTATTGGTCCCTGTTGTCTGTCAAAAGTTATGCTCCACGGCGTTGTGTTTATAAATACCTCCATAGCCTGCCTTTAATGAAGTCTGCCAGTCTGCCTATCTTTCTTGTTTCATTCCAGCACCCTTGTACTTCAGCCAAGAGTATCCCTGATGCAGCACTAGAAAGTGGCTTTGAGAGACTAGCTGCTATAGAGAAAAATGCCTTTAGATAACAAGTCAGGAGTCCTGTGGTCCAATGTTCGTTCCTCCATTTACTAGCTGTGGGGCCTTAACTTATCTGTTTCTTCATTTATGAAGTGTTATTAATAACAATAATAGTGGGAACCAGCAGTTAGCGTAATGGCTAACTGGACTCCCACGTAGTCGACCGCGGTTCGTGTCCCAGACCTGGTGGCTTAAAACTCACGCTGGGCGCGTGTGCATGCATGCCCAAGATCCCGAGAGGAGAATGGAGGAGAAGGGATTGCGGCGTGACCATCCCCCCTAGGGGGTGATTTCTTGCTTTCTCTCTCTGTCTCTCTCTGTCTGTCTGGCGAGCGCACGTGCCCTATAGCAAAAATAACTCTTAAAAAATAACAATAATAGTAAGTGATGATGAGGATGGTATGTTAAATGAAATGAAGAATCATAGTTTAAGTACTTTGGACAAGGATAAGCAATATTTAAATAGGGGATGTATCATTAGGCCTCGTGTAATCCTAGCTCCAGGCTTTTGTGCAAGGTTTCTTCACCACTAGAGTCCATCCTCCTCTCTTCAACCAACTAAACGTAGTCTATAACAAGGAGAGAAGTGCCAGCTACTGTAATGGACCCCGCCGAAGCCCCAGTGGCTTAGAACAGTTGACACATTAGGTTGTCAGGAAAGTCATGACGTATTTTTCTGTGTTTCTCTATGCAAAGATGCATCATGACTGTCCCGACAATCCAGTAGTTGTTATTAATTAAAATCCAGGTAGCCGTGGGGCTGAGGGGGCCCAGAATGATGGATACTCTGCTGAGTTTAGACCACGGCTTCCCAGGTTGCTCCTCGGTGTCAGTGGCCAGCCCACAGAATCTGAGGAAGAGATTGAGAGTGGGCGATTGCCTAGGAGGCTTCACACACCAGGCCTTGGATGGGAGCTAGCGACTGAGGCAGAGGAGAGATGGTTAAAAAGAAGTGTCTCCTGGATGGGAGATGAATTTGGGGTATGTGGGTGTGTGTTTGTACGCAGTGGTGGAGGGAGCTCTGAGAAGGCTGAGGCAGGCGCCGTGTAGCCCCTGCCTGAACAGAGAGGGCAATCCTCCTGTCTCCATAAACAGAGGCTGGGAAGGTCTGAGAGGCCTACAACCAGTTCCTGGTGAAGGCAAGCCACACAGAGCTGGGAGTGAGGCCCCTGGATCAGGGAGGACGTGGGTTAGAACCAGGGTGTTTACATACTTTCTGAGGTGAGCTTCCTAACAACTGGGGAGGCAGACACTGTTTACTATTTTTGAAATGAGAAAACTGGTAAGGTGGTACCTTTACGAAGGCCACACAGCTAATAAACAACAGAGAAATGACTCTCTCAGCTCTGCACAGTCACACTTGGTTTCATCCATTTGACTTTCGTAAAGGGGAAAAAGAGCAAAGATCCCCTTGGAACCCAGGAGTGGCCTCATATGGCTTTTCTTCCCTTGAGGGGTGCAATAGGCCTGGGGAAAAAGAAAAAAAAAAAGAGAGAGAGAGAGAGAGAAATGAGCACGGCCTGGGTCTCGGTATCAAAGCCTCTGATGGTGCCAGCCAGGAAATATACCACCAGGAGGACTGGGAACCCTGAATTCTGAAGGACTTGGTTTGGGTGACCTTCTGGGTGTGGGGTGGAGGAGGACCTTCGTGGTGGCCTTTTCCATTATAGACGGCTTAGCCTTGATCTGCTTCATTTGCAGGAGGGAGGGCAAGAGAGGAGCATTTCTAGGCAGAGGGTGCCGCTAAGCAGAGATCCTAAGACAGAGATGTGCTTACAGGGTTTGAGGACTGAATGGAGACAAGGAGGGCATGTGGAAAACAAGAGGGAGAAATGCTGGTAAAGGAACCAGCTCACCCAGGAACTTACAGGCCACACGGCAAAGGGTTAAGGTTTATTCTAAAGGCAGCCATTGTACATTGAGAGTCAGTGGTAAGAAGGTCCGATTTATAGTTTAAAAGACCACCCAGGTTGTTGCATGGAGAAAGGGTGGAGGGGAGGCCAGAGTGTTACACTGAGCATAGTGGGGGAGAGGGAAATGAGTTCAGGAGGAGATGAGAGTCTGGAGCTCAGGGGAGAGGTTCAGGCTGGAAAATAAAATTTGATCCTATTTTTCCTGTTAGCTCATTCCCTGTTCTGAGGCCAGCTTCCTGCAAGTAGCCTTATCCATGTCTCTACTTCCTCACCTCTAACAATTCAACCCTCTGTGCTCTGGCCTCTGTCGCTGCCACTTCCCCGAAATGTCTCAGACAAAGAACACTCAGGCCCCTTTGCCATTAGCCAGTTCCAGGCCTCTAGCCCTCACCTGACTTGACTTGTACCCATTTACACTGTGATCTGTTCCTGCCTTGAAATGCTCTCCTCCTCAGTTCTTTTGTCTCTCTGGCCCCTTATCTTTTGGCCCCTTTATTAGTCCTCAAATCCTTAGACCAGTCCAGAAATCACAGCATTTCCAGGCATCTGACCTTGGTCCTCCTTTTACCCCTTAGCAAAGGAATGAGCCCTCCCCCTTCAGCAGGCCAACCCCTACTTGCTTTTCCAGCTTCATCCCAGGTGCCCCCTCCTCCAGAAACCCTGCCCTGACCCCTCAGATTGGGTTAGGCGCCACTTCTCTTTTTCTGTTTCTCCTGGATCATAAAGCAGATACTTCTTCGATAGCACTTAGCACCCTGTTTACTTACTTGTCTCCCAGTCAAACGGTACTTAAAGGATAGAGTTACAATGAAATACTCTGTGATCTAGGACAAAGATTGCTTTCTCCAGTTTAGATGAAAGCTACACTTTATAATGAAGGTATCTGCGGCTGATTGTAGTCATTTAATAGGGCGTCCATTTCTCACTGGATCAGAAGGCTGAAATTCAGGTATAATAATATCCCTTGTGTGCGGAAGAAATTTATTTAACTAGAACTAATCAGAATTGTCTCCATATTCCAAAAGGAAAAAGTTGGCTTAATCTGAATTGCTTCTGAAGAGTTTCTAAAGATTTGCATTTCTTGCCTGGGAATTTCGATCTCCACTCTCTCTCTCCAACTCCAAAACCTGTTGCATGTGTCTCGTCTTCTGCGATTCCACAATTTGGGGTTTGATATTACAGTTGCCTCCATGGTTCTGAGCACTAACTCCTGTGTTGGATTGTGATAGCTGCTGAAGGCAGCAAATAGGCCAAGTGGAAGGTGAGTTTCTACCTTTCCATCCTCCCTCTTGCTAACCAGCTCCCTGCAGGTGAAAGAAAAATAAAGATGGATTGAAACTGCAGTGTGTACCTAGGAATACAAGTCACACATCTGGAATTTTAACAAAATTTTGGGTGGCTAATGTCACCAAACTTTCATGCTTGTCTTTCAAATGTTTTTTTTTTTTCTACTCTTTTGAATTATTTTTATTATTTTTTAAATCTCCTATTCCCAAACCTGTCTGTCTTTTTTGAAGCAGCATGTAAAACAAAGAAAATAAAATATCCAATCACTTTCTTCCCAGTGTCTGTGATTTTTAGAAATTTCCTTGATTTTTTTCAGTGTTTAGTTTTCTGAGCCTTATAGAGCAAAAAGCTATGATGCTTTTGACTAAACAAACTCTTGGCGTTATTTTTCAAAATAATATGACAAGTTGTACTTGTGCCCTCTCGCCCTCTCCCCCTCTTCTTTTTAGGTTTTTGCCACAAGGCGTTGTGCACTCACTGGAGAGAAACAGAGAGAGGGAAAGTGAAAAATCACTGGACTCCCATTTATGTGACCATAGCTCAAGTCCCGGACCCGGTGGGTTAAAACTCACAATTGTAGCTCAATCCCTTCTTCATTTTTCTCCTGAATTTTAGGCATGCATACCCATGTGCCTGGCATGATTTTTAAGGCTCCAGAAGTCTCCAGGTCCAGGACTTTAACTGTGGACGGCCATGCAGGAGTCCAGTGTCTTAACCACCATGCTATTTACTGGCCCTGTACGGGTACCTTTTTTTTTTTTTTAATTTAATCTAGTTTTGGGTTTAATGATAATAATAATGATAAGTAATTTTTTTTTTTTTTTAGAGAGAGTTTTTTACTATAGGGCTTATGTGCTTTCCAGAGAAACAGAAAGCAAGAAATCACCCCCTGGGAAGATGGCCACACCACAATCCCTTCTCCTCCATTATTCTCTCAGGATTTTGGGCATGCACAAGGCTGGCATGAGTTTTAAGCCACCAGTTTGGGTCTCAAACCACAGTCAACTACATGAAAGTCTGACATAACCATTATGCCATCTGCTGGCCCCTTAATAATTAATTTTTAAGGAAAATTAGAGTTGTAATTTATTATTTTAAAAAATTATTTAATTTATCATTATTTTCTCTTTATTATTTTATTTTATTTATTATTAATATTATTTTTAAATTTGGTATAGTCATCAGAGAGAGACAGAAAGAGAGAGGGAAAGTGAGAAAGCAAGCTGCCAGATTTGGTACCCAAGCCACGGTTGGCCACATGGGGATACAGTGCTCCAACCACCCTGCCACCTGCTCTCCCCTATTTATTATTATTTTTAAAAATTTAACCAGAGAGAGGCAGAGAGAGAGAGTAAACAAGAAAGCAAGTTGCCAGATCCAGGATTCAAATCGTAGTCACCATGTGGGAGTCCAGTGCCTTAACCACCATGCCACCTGCCAGCCTAGTCATTTTTTTTTTTGTTTAGAGAGTTTTACTATAGGGTTTGTGTTCTCTCTGGAGAGACAGACAGAGACAGAAAGTGAGAAACCACACCCCCCCCCCAGGGGAGATAGCCACGCTGCTGTCTCTTCTCCTCTATTCTCTTCTTAAGATCTTGGGCATGCATGCACATGTGCCCAGCATGAGTTTTAAACCACCTGGTCTGGGACTTGAACCACAGGCCACTATGTGGGAGTCCAGTGATATAATCGTTATTCCATCTCTTGGTCCCGTTGTAATTTATTTTTAATAACTAGAATACCTCTCAAATGGAGTAGCACTGCTTCAGTATGTAATAGTGGACTACATTTGGACTCTCATGTTACTTTCTCAAGGGCTGTTGTTGTCAGGGTAGAAATGCTGGCATTTGAACTGCATATAATCTATTGATTCCTGCTATGTTTATTTCTGGTGATCCAACAAGATACCAGGATGGCAGATTCTCAGGTAGGAAGTGATGATAGGGTTTTCCAGTATGTCCACTGATGACATACCAACTCCCTTTCTTATGTAGGAGACCTCTCTGTTAGCTCAAGAACATTCTTCCTCACAGGAAGCCCAGACTGTGGCTTTGACCCACTGGACTTCTATAGTGAGTCTTTCCCACAATATGTAATGTATATAACCCTTTAAGTACTTGAAGCAAGCTGTCTTTCCTTTCACTTCCCAAGTCCTTCTCTTCAGACTTTGGATCTCTGGTTTCTTTGGATGTAACCTTAACCTCCCTCCTTATTCTACATAGTGTGTTCCTAATAATCGCCTCAAGATTTAGTAAGGTTTTTCTTGGGACTCAATCTCTTGTTAAACTTACTGTTGGCTGAAACCCACCCTCATGAAACTCCCTTCTGAGCATACACTCTGTAAAACATCTATTTAATTGAATATTGTTGTCTCAGTGGTCTTACCAGTATAGTTTTACTGTTATGTTTGGTTACATAGGTAATGTTGTAATATACTGCCCTCTAAAAGAAAGGCTTTTAAGTCCTAGGGTACAGGTAAAATTCCATGAGGACCTTAGACATTGATTTCCAGCTAGAGGACACTTAACCGATTCCAATTGGGTCTAAAAAGAACCAGTATAGCCAGCTCTGGTGGCACAGTGGTAATACAACATTCCCTGTTGCTGAAGCCATAATGGAAGGCCAGTCTTGGATCCCAAGGTCCCTGTGCACGTTGCTGTGATCCTGGCTGGCTGAGACTGGAGGTGGATCTCAGTGTAAGGACCCTGTGGGGCCATCTGTTGTCTCTCGCTCTCTTTGAAGAAGTAAAAAAAACAGACAAAATGAAACAAGAAAGAAGCCCAGCCATTGTGAGTGACCATACTGTAATGTTAACCTCTTGGAAGCCAGATGGCAACTGCAGTTCCACTCCTATGTCAGCCTGAAAAACACCCCAGGAGCATGTGCTGGCACTCAGGATCCTAAAGAGCAGAGGACTGGGAAGAGAGGATCACGGTATAATGAAACCCTGTCGAGGGTGCTTCTCTCCCTCTCTCTATCTCTTGTACATGCTCAGGTACTTTCTATCATAAAAATAAAACTGATTAAAAAAAAAAAAGCTAGCATTGATTGAGCTCTCACAGTGTTCCAGGGACTGTCTCACACATTATTTAGCGTAATGCAGTAACCATGTGTTAATAAAATCATTAATAGTAGATAATGTTATTGACCTCATTCTGATGGAGATATGGAGGCTTAGAAAGTTGGGGCCTGCTCCTCGTTTCACATGTTGTCATGTGACCCAGTGCACTGTTCTTAATAGCCTCCGCACTGCTTCCGTAACACTTT